CCAAATTTTAAAATATTTACAAAAAATTAAAATATTTGTATATGGGCTATAGGGTGAAGCCTTAATAAATAAAAGTTCTTAATTAGGTAAATAAATGGGCCACAGCGTTACGACTTCGTAAATTGATGTCCTCTTTTCGGCATAGACTAACCATCGGGGCTTTCTTGTTGATCCTCTTATTTATGGAATGTGATACTCGTAAGGATAGGTGTCAAAATTCAATTTTTTTTTACCCCATGAGTGATATGTTTTAAATAAATTATGTAAATATTTTCTATTTATGAGACCCACTGAATGACCCAATGCTGTTGTTCCACATCAAAAGTTGTAGGGATTTTTTACAACTAAGGATGTAAAGAGTCAGAGCCATAACTTGTCAAATATAATAAAGGTAAATAAAAGGTAAATGAAAACTTTACCAAAGATTAAAATTTACCTTCATTCACTATTTATTTATGTCAAGGAATGAAAATTGATTAGAAAGTGGAAGATAGCACATTAGCAATGGGAATATAAAATTAAAATCATTGTTTTTCTTTCAAACCTTTGCTTCCTACTTTTATTCCATGTTAATCAAATATGAAGCAAAGAAAAATGAACGTCACGTCAGGCTTTAACACAAACTTTCTACAGAAAAAGTAATTGTAAATAAAAATGTTGATAACCTAACTTATTATTTATTATTTTCAATTTTCATTTCGGTTGTCAAACATATAATTAGTTTAAAAAGGTTACAAATGCAAATCGAGTTATCTAGAATGAAGTTAAGCAGATTTAATAGTGTTTTAAGAAAACTATATAAGGAGAAAATATTCAGTGGATTCGGTCCACGTAATTACACCAAAGATGGGATTTGGATCATCTTTACTATAAAAAGTAGTGAAGGGACCACTATTTTTTTTTATCACAATCGTTGATTACATTGCGGGTGATTGTGATTTATTCTAAACCCAATACTCATCAGTTCTCCATGCATCGCACACATTCTTAATTTGCATTAAAAATTATAATTATCCATTAGATAATCAACGATTGTGATAGTGTAATTATCCGTCCACTAACTAACTAACTAACTAACTAACTATATATATATATTGTTGGGGAGAAACCCCTGTGCCGAGATCCAACCAAATAGCCGAGAGAGATAAACCACACAACCAAAAAATAGCACAAACAATCTAACACTAGATTTAACGTGGTTCGGCGAGATGCCTACGTCCACGGGGCAATGAGAGGAGAGTTTTTCACTATTAGAAATCAAGAGGAACAAACTAGGGTTACAAATCTCTCATAAACCCTCAACAAATCAACTCTCAATCTCTCCAATTGCTCCTAGAATAGAAGCCCAAAGAAAAACCCCCTTTCAGCTCTCAAACTCCTGCTCTACAAACCCTAGAAACCCACATTACTATAGCATTTTACGAAAAAATACTATAGCAATTGAAAAAAGAAATATTGTAGCAGAAACAAAAAAAAAGGACCGTGCTTTGCATGGGGTGCACACTAGTATATATATATATATATATATATATATATATAAATATATAATATATATATATATATATTATAAAGACGCGTGCTTTGCAATGGGTGCACCACTAAGTGTTGATATAATATATATATAATAGATATATATATATATATATATAATATATAACTATATATAAATAGTATATAATATATATATATATATATATAGGAGAGAGAGAGAGAGAGAGAGAGAGAGAGAGAGAGAGAGAGAGAAAACGGGAGGTGAGCTGGCAGCGTAGGAAATTTCCTACGCTGCAAGTGTATGACATGTGAGCCCCCCTTACTAGTCACATCGGTGTGGGGCTCACATGTCATACACTTGCAGCGTAGGAAATTTCCTACGCTGCCAGCTCACCTCCCGTTTTCTCATATATATATATATATAAAAGCCTTCCATAAAACAAACAATCTACAGAATGAATCTTAACTATTTGAAGTAATACTTGGTAGTCTGATGAAATAAATCATATACACCTGGTATCATATACACATGGAATCCTTGCGAATATATAATGTTTATCATACTCTTTTCATATTGAAATCTTAAATATACCAAGGATTTGGATCCACTCCACTGAAAACACAGTGGAGATTTCATTATTTTGATTACAAACTATTACGCAAAAAGCCCTATCTCTTAGAGAGGCCAATTATGAGACTTCACGTGTGATTTAAAAATATCTGCCTCTGGGGCTTTGCAAACGAGAAATTCTTAGGTGCTCATGGAGTATCTAAGTGCTTACACCCCTCCAATAAGAGGGGGACATGTACCACTAGATGGGAGAATGTGAAGTCTCATTCTACTCTCTAGTCCCACATGCCCGTTTTCGATCTATTGGAGGAGCGTAGGCATCTTGCATGCTCTACTCCATGAGTAGGCAAGAATTTCTCTGACCGAACTCAACAACATGGTTGCTCATCTCTTGCCCGAGGCCAGTCTCGACCAGCGCACTTTCCACTCAAGTCGATTATCATGACCTCGGCCAAGCTCGCTTATTTTAACGAATAAAGGAGATACAATCAAATCTTTCCTCACTTGAGATAGCAGACCTTGATTAACTCAGGCGAGAGCATGAACGCAATTATCAAGTATACTTTCCCCACGACCTCTCTGGCTATCGTAAGAACCTCAGCTAATAATGGAGGGACGCTGGGACAATCCAATTATAGAGAAAGCTTTCGCTCTTTTTCCAATCTATTCCTCCAAGTTAGTATATAAGACAAGACATCTTGATAAGAAAATTCTAAGTCTAATTTCCGTTCAAATTTCTTCTAAATTACCACATTCTTCTCAAAGCCACTAACTTAAGTAGTTAAGTATTAAAGTGTCATCGCAGTGTTTGGGGCCCTTCTAACGAAAAATTGTTGGATGCTCATTGAGTGTCATTAATATCTGCTCCAAGTCCAATTCAATCAAATTGTGACATGTGACATTCATTATTGTTAATCAACTATATCACTTTAATGCCATCAAAATTTTCATAAAATAACAAATCTCTTAACCATGATTAATTTATAAAAAATGTCTAAAAATTTAGATCGCAACTTACCCCCACATAAATTGCCAAAAAGCCCCTAAAAAGTCTCATACTTTGCAGTTTACCCCTAAAATGCAATAAAATGCCCTAGAAAGTTTCAAATTTTGCAGGTTACCCCCTAAAAAGTTTTAAGACACCCCTAAAAGTTCTAGAAGTTATGGTCACCCATAAAAATTATAGAAAGCCACCCTAAACGTTTTAGAATTTGCAGTTTATCCCCAAAAAATTGTAGAAAAGCCCTAAGGTACCGTTTGGAAAAGGGTTTAGTGAGGGGTTAAGGAGACTTAACCCATTCTTAACCTCCTTAACCCCTTCTTAACCTGCCAAACACAACAAATCTATATAAGGGTTAAAGTGAGTTAACCCTCCATAATTTGCCAAACATAAAAAATATAGAAGGGTTAAGTTAACCCCTCTAGAGGGGTTAAAATGAGTTTACCCCTCAAAATGAGGGGTTTACTAATACTCCTATTTAGATGGAATAAGAGTTAACCCTTTTAATTATAAAGAAAATAGTCAAAATCATTGTTATTCCCAAACACTAAAACTGATCATAAGGGCTAAAATAAAACTTATTTAACGGGTTAATAATTTAGTCCTTCGGATTATCAAATGGGTTAAGTACATTAATCCTTCTCTTTAACCCCTCTTCATTAACCATTTGCCAAGCGGGGCCTAAAGTTTTAGGGGATGAACTCTAAATTTTGAAACTTTTTAGGGTGATTTTAGAAAATTTTTGGGGATAAATTGCAAAGTATGAAATATTTAGGGGATCTTTAGCAATTTTTGGAGGGTAAATTACAATCTAAAAGTTTTTAGAGGGTTTTCATAAATTAATCATGGTGAGGAGATTTTTTTTTTATTTTATAAAAATTTTGAAGCCATGAAAATGATATAGTTGATTAAGAATTAATAATGAGTGCCACGTGTCATAATTTGATTGAATTGAAGCATATATTGATGGTAGTCAATGAACATCCAAGAAATTTTCCCTTCTAGCAATGTATTCAAGAGTAGCTCACTCAATATGTGATTGATCTCCATGACACCACAGCAGGAAAAGTGAAGTCATTACTCATCCATCCATACAAACGCAACATGCATGCACAAAGTCAACTAAATCTAGATAACAAAAAGTTTCAAGTGAATTGACCCAGACAGATTTAACCCAATACAAGCAACCATGACACAAAATCCTTACACATTTACTATATCCATGCCATAAATAAATAAAAAGATGCGCAAATACGAACACAACCAAATTCAAGTAACTCTTAAACTTCGATCTCTACCTCTTCCTCCTCGGCACCAACCGAGCCCTCAACGGATGCTTCATCACCACCGTAAACTGCGGTTTCTCCGAAAAATCAACTTTTTCCCCATCAACACCCCTCCATTCGAACTCCATCACCAAATTCGCCACAAAATACTCCAAATGCAGCATAGCAAGCTGTAGCCCAGGGCAAATCCTCCTGCCTACCCCGAACGGCATCATCTTGATCTCCTTGCTCCCCGTTATATCGACCCTCTCGAGCCCTCCGTCATCGTCGATGAACCTCTCCGGCCTGAACTCCATCGGATCCTTCCACACTTTCTCGTCCAGCTGCATCTCTGCCACCATGAAATTCACCGTGGCGTTCTTCGGAATGGTGTATCCTTCGAATTCCACTTCCTCCGACATGGCGTGCGGTAGCACGAAATGGCCTGGCGGGTGAGACGAGTGCCGCCGCCATTGTGCGTCTGCATTATGTGCGAGGATGACATATCTAATCTTTGCCTTAGTTAGGTAGCCGTGTAATGGGAGGCAGGAGGAATGTGAGTGGCTTTAAGGGTTTGTGTGAGTGCGGGACCCAATTTTTTACAGGGGAATATCTAATATTTTTTGGATACTTGCTCATATGTAGTTGTGGGCATGAGGTCCTTGGCTAGGTTGGCTTTGTGTATTTTGCTTGTCTTTGTTTGAGGTTCACTTTGCCTTTTCTTGGGTCTGGGGGTATATTTTACATATTAATTCCGTATATAACGGCTTTTCGACCTGCTCCCGCGTAGCTTTTCTTGAATTTCCTTTCGGCTCGTGGATGACGCAGCGTCCGGCCATGATCCCATGCAGACGAAGCGGTGGACGTAGGTGTCGGTCCCCGCGTTTGATGAACTCGGCGCAGAGGGCGACCATC